AATATACATGTCACAAACATAAAACATACATTTTCATAATCAATCCATTCAGGGGAACAACATATTAAAAATGGCACGAATCAGACCAGGGGTTCAAAAGTTAAGGGAAAGTCCTTTGTGACTAAATGAAGCATGGCTTTCTGGCCCAAACCAGTTTCAGAGTCTTCTATCCTGGAGAGTAATTCAATTATCTCCCAGGACAGACACAAGACTCCATTAAGCACATGGTTGCAAAAAGACACAAAACACTTTAAAATACATAAAGTCACATTTTACACATAACACACAGACATTTCATATATCCCCAGATAGCTCAGGTCTGAGCGCACATTATTAAGTGAATGGCGCTCGGACCACACAAATACAGTTTAATCGCCATGGAGCCAAAGTCTTTACAGTCAGTTTCATACGAATGGGCTCCATGGGATTCCTATCTGGGGTATAACACATTCACATAAAGTCTGGTCCATAGTCCAAAGGCAAGAGGCGGGCAAGCAGCCCCCTCCAAGGACACGTGGCGAGGCCGGTTTCGCCACACACACACACACACAATAACATTTATACAACACTCTCACACAGCACTCTCACACCCATCACACACAGCACTCTCACACAGCACTCTCACACACAGCACTTTCACACACACAGCACTCTCTCACCCATCACACACAGCACTCTCACTCACACAGCACTCTCTCACACATCACTCTCTCACACACAGCACTCTCTCACAGCACTCTCCAACACAGCACTTTCACACACACAGCACTCTCTCACCCATCACACACAGCACTCTCACACACAGAGGACTCTCTCACACAGCACTCTCTCACAGCACTCTCTCACCCATCACACACAGCACTCTCTCACACAGCACTCTCACACACAGTACTCTCTCACACAGCACTTTCACACAGCACTTTCACACACACAGCACTCTCTCACCCATCACACACACAGCACTCTCACACAGCACTCTCCCACAGCACTTTCACACACACACAAAGCACCTCACCCATCACAAATACTGTGCACTCTCACTCACACAGCACTCTCTCTCACACAGCATTCCCCTACCACCACCCAGCAGTCTCCCACAGCCACTCAGCACCCTCCCACACAGCCACAGCACTCCTCACACACACAGCACTCTCTACATACAAAACCTCTCACATCACCTCCCACACAGCACTTCTCACACACACAGCACTCCTCACACACACACAGCACCTCACACACTTGTGCACCTCACACACACAACACTCTCTGCCACCCATCACACACAGCACTCTCTCACATCACTCTCTACACAGCACTTTCACACACAGCACTCTCACCCATCACACACAGCACTCTCACTCACACAGCACTCTCTCACACAGCACTCTCTCACACAGCACTCTCACACACACAGCAGTCTCACACTCACAGCACTCTCACACCCATCACACACAGCACTCTCTCACACAGCACTTTCACACACACAGCACTCTCATACACACAGCACTCTCTCACACACAGCACTCTCTCACACACAGCACTCTCTCACACACAGCACTCTCACACCATTCTCACACCCATCACACCCATCACTCTCACACACACACAGCACTCTCACACACACAGCACTCTCACACCCATCACACACAGCACTCTCTCACAGCACTCTCTCACACAGCACTTTCACACACACAGCACTTTCACACACACAACACTCTCACACACACAGCACTCTCACACCACTCTCACACCCATCACACACAGCACTCTCACACACAGCACTCTCACACCCATCACTCACACACGGCACTCTCACACCCATCACTCACACACGGCACTCTCACACACATCACACACGGCACTCTCACACACACCGCACCCCTCACACACACACACATATTGCACCCCTCACATACACACAGAACCCCCCAACACACTGCACCACACACATATACAATACTTCCAAATATATATATATATATATATATATATATATACACACACTACACTCTTAACATACACACTCTGGATCCCCTATACACACACTAGATTCCTTGTAAGCAAACACATTCTACACCCCTAAACAAACACACACACACTATAGCCTGTATGCACACACTTCCTATTTACCCAATACATACATTTTCTACAGCCCATAGCCACATATGCATCACATTACACCACAAACACAACATGACTAAAACCAACCTTATTACACAATACCACACCACGACCAGCTCACTCTACACACACGCAATACCACAAGCAGGCTCCAAACACATGCACAATACTCTTTCCTTGCCCTTTTGTCTCCTGTTATCCATTTATAGAGACACCAGAGACAAGTTGCAAGGAAACACAGTGCAAGCATGTTATTAAATTTGCTTGCACTGTGCAGAACAAATACAGGACTTTCTTCTCATGCTAGAGCTCTTCAGCAGAGCTCTGCGCATGGTCTGCCCTGGAAGAGCATTGAACCAACATACTTTGAGAGGAGGCGTGTTTGTCATTGGTGATGACAAAACACACCTCCTCTGCCCCGCCCCCTTTTTAGTGGGCTGCTATGTTAAAAAAATGCCCGGGCCGAATTTTTCTCCCAGTCCGGCCCTGCACACACACACACACATACTGCATTGAGGGGTGCAGTCAGGCCCGGACTGGCCATCGGGCATACCGGGCAAATGCCCGGTGGGCCGCGATGGCCGTGGGGCCGAGGCCAGCAGGGGAGATCCCAGGATCTCCCCGGCCGGCCCCTGCAGGGCCAGCGCTATCCGAGCGCCAGCCCTGCTATGTGAATCCATGGGCCGGTGGGGAGATCAAAGATCTCCCTCACCGGCCCACAGACAGGGAGATGCGGCCGCCGGCTGGGGAGAGAGGACCGACGGAGCTCTAGCCAGCAGCTCCGCCGGGTCCTCTCGCGAGATTCTGAGCGTTGCCGCGGTAACTCAGATCTCGCGAGAGTGAACTCTCACCACTGGACCACCAGGGAAGGCTCCCCCTCCCAGGCCGAACGGCTCTCCCTCCCCCTCCCAGGCTAAAGGTAAGAAGGGAGGGAGGGGGGGCCTAACTTTTTAAAAAATTATTCATAAAAAAATATATATATTTAAAATAAATTCCCTAACAGCCCCCTCACAAACAGCACCCCCAGACACACACACAGCACCCCAGATACACACACAGCACCCCAGATACACACAGCACCCCAGATACACACACAGCACCCAGACACACACAGCACCCCCAGACACACACACAGCAACCCCAATACACACACAGCACCCCCAGACACACACACAGAACCTCAGACACACACACAGCACCACAGACACACAGCACCCAAACACACGCAGCACCCCCAAACACACGCAGCACCCCCAGATACACACACAGCACCCCAGATACACAAACAGCACCCCAAGACACACACAGCACCCCCAGACACACACACAGCCCCCTACACACAGCACCCCCAGATACCCACAGCCCCCCACACACAGCCCCCCAGACACACACACAGCCCCCTCACACACAGCCCCCCCAGACACACACATTACACAGCACCCCCAGACACACACACACAGCACCCCCAGATACACACACAGCACCCCTAGACACACACACACAGCCCCCTAACACACAGCACCCCCAGACACACACACATAGCACCCCCAGACACACACAGCCCCCTCACACACAGCCCCCCAGACACACACAGCACCCCCAGACACACACACATAGCACCCCCAGACACACACAGCACCCCAAGATACACACAGCACACCCAGAGACACACACACATATATATATAGGGAGGTAGGGTTGGGAGGTAGGGGTGCTGTGTTGTGGGGGGTAGGGGTACATTTCAGTAGTCTTTCCCTCCCTCCCTCACTTCCACCTTTGGTGAAGGAGGGGGGGCACAGCTATTCCTGGTTGTCTGGTGGTGGTGGTAAGTAGGTTTGTGTGAAGCAGCTCTCCTGTACTCCCGCGCGATGCTGTGTGGAGCGTTTCCATGGTAACGTGCAGCAATGCTCCACACAGCATCGCTCGGGAGGACAGGAGAGCTGCTTCCTAGAGCCCTCCCCCTGTCCTCCCGACATGGAAGCAGAGTAGGGCCTGCCGTTTTTCCTGTGTGCTTTTTTTTCTCACCATTTTCTCATATCTCTCACTATTCCTTTTACGTTTTAGTTTTTGCTTCTGGAAGATCACACTAGTCTCTGTCGTAACCAGTGCTGTATATACTTCCATGAGGGCTTAAACACATAAAGGGGGAGATTGCTACCTCTTCGGTTAGTTCTCGTACTGCCAATCCATACTCTTTGGAACTAGTGTGGTATGCTTTATTATTGATTATCAATTATTGAGCATCTCACTAAGGGCTGTTCCCCCTCCTATAAGGCTACACTGTTTAATTTGTCCTAGTACTTTTTAGAGTTGCTAATAAAGTTCTTTTGTTATTTATTATTTTCTCCTTTATGATCTTATTGGAGTGGATTGGAAATTTAACCTTTTGGTCACTTTCTATTCAAGTGACACCTTTGGTTCTCTACTATTATTGTATTCCCTAGGGTTATCACCTACTTTTCCAGTCTAGGTGACCTTTTTTTGTGGGTTAGGTACGGGACTAGGGTGTTACACTAAACCCCTATCTTTGACCGCTCCCCTTCTTTTTTTCTTTTTTTTTAAAGCTAAATATATTTGCAACACTAGAAAAAAAACCCTATCTTTGGTCCCTCCCCTTCTTTTTTTTATTTTTTTTAAGCTAAATATATTTGCAACACTAGAAAAAAATTCTATTTAATGGTTTTCAACAATAAGCAATCATGTTACATAGTAACATTTAATTTCTGGAGAGAAAAAAATGCAGTTTTGATATCCTTGTGAATGCTTTGTATAGTGGGATGTCTGAGTAAATTAAATGTCCCTTTCCAAACTAAAGCATCGATTTCCTTATGATAATTATCTGCAAGATTGGATCTGTCAGAAGTTTGGAAGCTATATTAGCTTAGCTGATGCATCCTTAATTTCACTCATTCGTCTTATTGTTAGCAATTATTTTCTATAGAGAGGGTATAATACCCTCTCTATAGAAAATAATTGCTAACAATAAGACGAATGAGTGAAATTAAGGATGCATCAGCTAAGCTAATATAGCAAGATCATGGATCACTTTATGTTGATACAATTCTTTAGTGAATACGAGGTGAAGTACATTAAAATATTTGAAAGGTAACATTACATAGATAAGGCATTAAACAAATATTTATTTTTCCATCATGAAATCATGGGTTGTATGCAGATGCAGAATATTAGCAAAATGACAAACACCTCTGCTCTCTCACCTTATGATAGTTAAATCCTATGATTTAACTATTGTTATTATAGTTTTCTATTTAATGTCAAACAATGAAAAAAGATGCCAAAAGGACTAAGCACTGTGGCATATATGTTTGGTGGCAATAGAGGGTTAAGGAAGTCCAGTCAAGGTTAAAAGAAGTTGAGATAAAGTTCATGACCCCAAGATCATTGGTTGGGCAGCAGGGGACAAGTATCTGGGTAGTTTTAGTGACACAGCTGTTGCTGGGGACAGGAGCTGACTGAGGATTGGCTGCTGGCAGCAGGCCAGCAAAAGAGCGGGAAGCCAGGTAAGAATAAAAGGAGGTGAGTAAGGGATTCCCTGCCAGCTGTTCGTAACAGGACGGGAGAAGCTCTGCGGACCCAACGGCACCTCACCTGATCCAGCCGCACCATGTCTGCTGAAGATTTGATGTCCCACACAGCAGAGATCCTGCGCTCGCCTTGAAGAGAATCCTGGATCAGAAATTGCCTCATCACCACGCCGGGGGGTTTACAATGCTGAAAGGGAGCCTCCGGTAACTGTATCCTACCAGACGGAGTCTTCCCGTCGTCTGACGGAGGTCCCAACCAGCAGCACGTCGTATCCAGCCGGAAAGAGACAGGCTCATGCATGGTACAGCCGAGGAAGAGCGACACCTGCTGGAAGAAAAAGAAAATGCATGCCAGTAAGAAAAGTGGCTCCAGGGATGAAAGAATCCGCAACTGGAAGGAAGAAAAAATGCAAGAGACGCCTGCCCTCCTCCCCTGTGCCTGTAGTGGGTCAGGGTCATCATGACAAGGAGCGAAGACAGTTTGGATGATGGGATCGCATGTTACCGGGACGACATGCCAATCCTTGAAGAAATGGAGATGCAAGGCAGAGCTGGGACATCAGGCGGTGAGTATGAACGAAATACTGCTGAACTGGCTAGGATTAGTGAGGCATTAACAGCGGTAGCAGGGATAGTAAAGTTTTTTCAAGGAGAGAAGTCCAGCTCAGGCTTGGGGTACTGGGAGTGGTAGTTCAAAGAAAGAAGGATTCATTAATGAATATTGTAAAGAGAAGCTCTGACATGTGAAAGCGTTAGTTTTTGTAACTAGCAAAGGCAGTGAGTATGAACGAAACACTGCTGAACTGGCTAAAATTAGTGAGGCGTTGGCAGCGGTTAAAGTTCTTTAAAAAAGTCCAGCTCAGGCTTGGAGGACAATGGTAGTAGTAGTTCAAGGATTTATTTAAGGAATATTGTGAAAGAAGAAAGTGACAGAAAAGCGTAGATTGATCCCGCATAATTGTAATAACTGGCTGCAAGCATTTGTATTTTCTCATCTGTAAAAGAAGAGAAGAAGCCAAAGTTATGTAGCGGGCCTTTCCAGCATGCGGAAGTTATATTAGAGGCATTGAATAATTTTGATGGCTTGCTATTTGGTGGTTAATGTTAATAAAGGTAAAGTTGTGTAAGTTCGTGGACCATATGTTATATGGTTATGGTTACTTGCAAAGTTATGGTTATAAACTTATACAAAGTTATGGTTACAAAGTTATACAAAGTTATGGTTACAAAGTTTTGGTTGTATGGCTTGGCTTACTTATGATGAACTTAAAAAAACAAAAAAAAAACGGGTCATCCACTCTTCCCTAAAGGGGAATGAAGGATGTTGGCCTTTGAATGAACGGATACTGCCGCAAAGTTTGTCAGTTAAACCAGCGACTAATGTCGGCACTTATAGTACAGTAAGAACAATATTATTATGGAACTCTTATGGAACATTTAAAAAAAAATAATAATAATAATAATAATTTTCATTAGAACTTTCTATTGAAAGTACTCATATTGTTATTTAGTAATCCAGGCAGCTGAAAGGCTGCGTCCTTATCTGTAGGTTTACCCAAACAAGGAGAGAGCGGAACAGGTGCACTAATGGCTAAAGTGGACATTGAGTCAGCCTTTAGGCTCTTACCGGTGCATCCAGAAGGTTTCAATTCATTGGGTTTTTCATTTCTTGGAAAGTTATATTTTGATAAATGTTTACCAATCATTATATAGATGATTTTGATCATTGGCTTTGAACGT